AACTCACCTATAAAAAGACACAGGGTAACAGAATGGATACAAAGACAGAATCCATCCTTCTGCTAAATACAAGAAACACATCTAAGCTTCAAAGACAGACGTTCCTTAGGGTAATGGGTTGGGAAAAGATTCAATCAAATGGAACCAAGAAGCAAGCAGGTGAAGCTAACAAGTTAGACTTCAAACCAAAATCAATCAAAAAAGATGAAGAGGGTCATTTCATATTCATCACAGGAGGAGTCCATCAGTACAAAGTCTCAATTCTGAACATCTATGCCTCAAATACAAAGGCACCCACATTCATAAAAGAAACACTACTAAAACTCAAAGCCCATATAAAACCTCAAACACTCATAGTTGGAGACTTCAACACCCCACTCTCACCACTAGACAGGACTACCAGACAGAAACTTAACAAAGAGGCAAAAGCACTAACAGAAGTTATGTCTCAATTGCATTTAACAGACATCTATAGAATATTCCATCCAAATACAAAAGAATATACATTCTTCTCTGCTCCACATGGAACCTTCTCTAAAATCAACCACATACTAGGCAACATAACAAACCTCAACAGATACAAAAAAAAAAAAAATTGCAATAGCCCCCTGTATCTTATCAGACCATCATGCTTTAAAGTTGGAATTCAACAACAACACAAGTCTCGGAAACCCTACAAACTCATGGAAACTGAACAATTGCACCATTTCTGGGTCAAGGAAGAAATAAAGAAATTAAAGATTTCCTAGAAATCAATGAGAATGAAGAAACAACATACCCAAACTCATGGGACAGTTTGAAACAGTGCTATGAGGAAAGGTCATTGCACTAAGTACCCATATGAAGAAAACAGAGCATAATCACATTAGAGAATTAACAGCATAACTGAAAGCCATAGAACAAAAAGAAGCAAACTAACCCCAGAGGAGTGGATGCCAAGGAAATAATCAATTTTAGGGCTGAAATGAATAAAGTAGAAACTAGGAAAACAATACAAAGAATGTAAAAAAAAAAGACTTGGTTTTTAAGGAAAATCAACAAAATAGACAAACCTTTATCCAAACTAACCAAGAAGCAGAGAAAGAACATGCAAATCAACAAAATCGGAAATGAAAAGGGGGACATATCAATGGACACTGAGGAAATTCAGAGAATTTTCAGGTCATACTTTGAAAACCTCCACAAACTTCGAAAATTCAAAGGAAATGGACAAATTTCTAGATAGCTATTACTTACCAAAATTAAATCAAAAGCAGATAAAGCAATTGAAATAGACCTATAACCCCTAATGAAATAGAAGCAATCATCAAAAGCCTCCCAACCAAAAAAAAAAAAAAAAAAGACAAAATAAAAAACAGGGCCAGATGGCTTCAGTGCAGAATTCTACCAGAAATTCAAAGAAGAGCTAATACCAATACTCCTCAGATTGTTCCACACAATAAAAGCAGAAGGTAAATTACGGAACTCTTTTTATGAGGCCACAATTTCCTTGGTACCCAAACCACACAAATATACAACTAAGAAAGAGAACTACAGACCAATATCCCTCACGAACATTAATACAAAAAATACTCAATAAAATACTGGCAAATCGAATCCAAGAACACATCAGAGAAATCATCCAACTTAACAAGTACACTTCATCCCAGGGATGCAGGGATGGTTCAACATATGAAAATCTAACAATGTGATCCACCATATAATCAAACTGAAAAAGAAAAACCACATGATCATCTCACTAGATGCTGAAAAACCCTTTGACAAAATCTAACACCCTTTCATGATAAAGGGATACTAGGAACATACCCGGAACATACCTAAACATAAACATTAAAAGCACTATACAGTAAAACAACAGCCAACATCAAACTGAATGGAGAGAAGCTTAAGGTGATTCCTCTAAAATCAGGAACAAGACAAGGATGCCCTCTCCATATCTCTTCAATACTGTACTTGAAGTTCTAGCTAGAACAATAAAACAACAAAAGGAGATCAAGGGGATACAAATTGGAAAGGAAGAAGTCAAACTCTCACTATTTGCAGATGATATGATAGTTTACATAAGTGACCCAAAAAACTCTACCAGGGAACTCCTACAGCTGATAAACACCTTCAAAAATTAGCAGAATAGAAGATTAACTCAAAAAAATCAATAGCCCTACTATATACAGACAATAAAGGAGATGAGAAAGAAATCAGAGAAGCATCACCCTTTACCACAAACAGCATAAAATATCTTGGGGTAATGCTAACCAAACAAGTGAAAGACCTATATATCAAGAACTTTGTGTCTTTAAAGAAAGAAATTAAAGAAGATACCAGAAAATGGAAAGATTTCCCATGCTCTTGGATAGATAGGATAAACATAGTAAAAATGGCAATCTTGCCAAAAGCAATCTACAGATTCAGTGCAATCCCCATCCAAATACTGGCAAAGTTCTTCACAGACCTTGAAAGGATAACATTCAACTTTAGATGGAAAAACAAAAACCCAGAATAGCCTAAACAACTCTGTACATTAAAAAAACTTCAGAAGTCATCACCATCCCTGACTTCAAGCTCTGCTATAGTTATAGTCCTGAAAAAAAGCTTGGTATTGGCACAAAATTACACAGGTAGACCAATGGAATCAAATCAAAAATCCTGATATTAACCCACACACCTACCTACACCTGGTTTTTGACAAAACAGCTAAAATTATACAATGGAAAGAGGAAAGCATCTTCAAAATCTGGTGCTGGCACAACTGGATGATGGTGTGTAGAAGACTGTGGATAAACCCATGTCTATCGCCATGCACAAAACTTAAGTCAACATAAATCCAGCCACACTGAACCTCTTAGAAGAGAAAGTGGGAGGTACCCTTGAACAAATTAATACAGGAGACCGCTTCCTAAACATAACAGCAGTAGCACAGACACTGAGATCAACAATTAATAAATGGGACCTCCTCAGACTGAAAAGCTTCTGTCAGGCAAAGGACACAGCTGACAACACCAAATGGCAGCCCACAGAATGAGAAAAGATCTTCACCAACCCCACATCTGACAGAGGGCCGATCTCCAAAATATACCATGAACTCAAGAAACTAGACACCAAAATACCAAATAACCCCATTAAAAAATGGGGTACAGAATTGAAGAGAGAAATCTCAATAGAGGAATCCAAAATGGCTGAAAGACACTTAAGAAACTGCTCAACATCCTTAGCCAGCAGGGAAATGCAAATCAAAACAACTCTGAGATACCATCTTACTCCTACCAGAATAGCGAAAATTAGAAACACCAAAGACAATTTATGCTGGAGAGGATGTGGAGAAAGGGGAACACTCCTCCACTGCTGGTGGGAGTGCAAACTCATACAGCCATTTGGCGGTTCCTCAGGAAAATGGGAATCAGTCTACCACAGGACCCGGCAATTCCACTCTTAGGCATATAACCAAAAGATCCACATCCATGCAATAAAGATATCTGTTCAACTATGTTCATAGCAGCATTATTTGTAACAGCAAGAACCTGGAAGCAACCTAGATGCTCCTCAGCTGAAGAACGGATAAAGAAGATGTAGTACATTTACACAATGGAATACTACTCAGCAGAAAAAAACAATGGAATCTTGAAATTCCCAGGCAAGTGGATGGAACTTGAAGAAACTATCCTGAGTGAGGTAACCCAGTCACAAAAAAGAGGAACATGGTATAAGGAATCTAAGAGATTCATACAAGGTCCCTCATAGAAGGGGAAAGGAACAAGATCTCCTGAGCATATTGGGAGGCGGAGACAGTGAGTGGACAGGGAGTTAGGAGAAAGAGAAGGGGAGGAGAACATGTGGGACCAGGAAGATTGAGTCAGGGGACAAATAGATGAGAGCGGGGGGGGGGGATACCATAAATGAGGGAGCCATTATAGGTTTGAAGAGAAAACTGACTCTAGAGAAATGTCCACAGACCTACAAGGATGACCCCAACCAACAATCTGTGCAACGGTGGAGAGGCTACCTTAAATGCCCTTCCCTGATAATGAGATTGATAACTAACTTATATGTCTTCATAGAGCCCTCATCTAGTAGCTGATGGAAACAGAAGAAGACACCCACAGCTAAACACTGAGCCAAACTCCTGGAATCCAGTTGCAAAGAGGGAGGAATGATAACAAAAGGGGTCAAGACCAGGCTGCAGAAACCCACAGAGACAGCTGACCTGAACAAGGGGGAGCTAATGGGTCCCCAGACTGATAGCTGGGAAACAAGCATTGGACCAACTCAGACCCCCTGAACATGGGTCTCAGTTAGAAGGGCTGGGCAGTCTAAGGAACCTCTGACAGTGCAACCAGGATGTATCCCTGGTGCACAAAAGGACTTTGGGAGCACATTCCCCATGGAGGATACTCCCTTGGCCTAGAGGCAGTAGGGAGGGCCTAGACCCTACTCCAAATGACTTGACAGATTTTGATAATCCCTCCTGGAAGGCCTCACCCTCCTTGTGGAGTAGGGTTGGGGGTGAATGGGATAGAAGGGGGATCGGGAGGCATGGGAGGAAGCAGGGAGAGGTAACTGGGAACAATATATAAAATAAGAAAAACTTTATATATATATATATACACACACACACACACACACACACACACACACACACATATATATATATATATATATATTGAAATCCGTGCTGACCAAACACCTGCTCGATACATGGAGGAGTCATAGGAGAAAAGAAAGGGACGGAGGAGTGTTGAGTAGACACAGACAGCAGTGTTTCAAGAAAGGGGGAAATAAAGTTGAAACCTATGAATAAAATTTCAAAATCTGGAATGTCTGAAAATTGCTGTCCTGTTTCTCTGTGATTCTTCTATTTTCTTCTTGGTTAGCATATCACATGATCTCCCTAATGCTTAGAACCTCAGTCTTCAGATTTGAGCTGCAATGCCTGAGTGTGCCTGGAGGACAGTGATTTAGATAATAGCACCTTAAGACCTCCCTCCACTCCCACGGTGGAAACTCACCCTCCACGGAGATGAGAAGGGATAAGGTCACGATGAGCAGTGTGCCGATTTTTGCTGCTAGATTCATGTTGGATGATAGATGGTGGCTTGAGGTATTGTAAAGGATGGCCACTCAATCCTATTATATATCTGAAGTACAGGAAGAAATCTCCAACATCAGCACAAGGAGGAAATGCCCTTTTCTTTTTCAAAAAGCCAGATGTACGATAATGTGGGAAGCTCAGGCTGCCCAGCGTCTAGCTACAGCTGAGTCAGATAGCTTCCCTCCCCTATCTCCTGTATGTGCAAGTGTGTGAGGTGTAGTTTTATGGTCCTCCAGAAACTTCTCTGTATACAACATGGGAAATGCCTGCTCATCCTAGGATTCAGAAATGGGAGATGGTGACTCAGAATTCAAAGGCTTCCAGAGAAAGAACATGTAGCATGAAGGTTTCACAAGTGCTCGACTTTACAAGAAATTGCTAAATTATGTTCTGAAGTGATTGTCACATTTTGCAAGTCTGCCAGGAATGAATAAGAGCTCCTGTCCTCTACATGCTTATGGACGTTTAGTGTGGCCATGTTCTGGACTGTCACCATTCTAATAGATGTTGGAGTTATGTCATGCTCTTATTTGATTTGTGTTTTCCTGATAGGATATGGTGTGGCCATGTTTCATGTGCTCATTTGCTCTGTGTGTGTGTGTGTGTGTGTGTGTGTGTGTGTGTGTGTGTGTGTTTTGCTGAGGTACATATAGAGCTCTTTGGTCATTTAAAACCAGGTTATCTTTTTCTACTGGATCTTTCTTTTTTACACTTGCATTTGATGATATAAATGTCTCAATTAACAGTATTTTAACTGCATTCCACAAATTTTGATAAGTTTTTGGTTTGTTTATTTGTCTGTTTTTGGTTTTTCCAGACAAGATTTCTCTGTGTAGCTCTGATTATTCTGGAACTCACTTTGTAGACCAGGCTTGCCTCAGACTCACTGAGCTCCACCTGCATTTGCCTCCCAAGTGCCGGGATTAAAGGTGTGCAACACCACCACCTGGGGATAAATTGAATTCTTACTCACTTCAAAACACTTCTGCGTTTCTTTTGAAGTTCAACTTTGGTTCATGTGTTATTGGGACACTTAATTTCTATGTATTTGGAAATTTCTCAGTTGCTATTTTAAGTTTAATTCCATTGTGGTCTAAGAGCATTACATAATTTTTATTTTTTATTTGGCAAACTGTTTTTTATTGCCTACAATGGAGTCTGACTATTTGTTCCACGTGAACTTAAGAGGAGTGTGTAATATCTTTGATTTGCATTGTATGATTGGTTTGAGGTGTGTGTGTGAAGAATTATTGTAAAATTGACCCCTTTGTCCTTATGTAGAATTTTATCCTGGGATATTTTCCTTGCTTTGTCGCTTGCAGTGTCTAAAATCCAAACATAAGTTCCTGTTTTGTTCAGGTCAGAGCTAACATGACTATATTTCTCCACACATTAATCTTATATGTCTCTGTGATTTCTTGGATTAGGTAATATATCCCAGTGGTATAGTGTTTGCCTAATATCCACAAAGGACTAAACTCCAGCTTAGCAATCAGTTAATTAATCAACCCATCAACCAACCGGTAAACTTATAAAGAGATGTCATGTAGATAATTGTGTTTCATCTTTACATACTCTCTGGAAATCTTTTAATTCATTCACTGAGACCATTGATACGTGGGGGTGACTGTTGAAAGAAAATGATTAATATATATCATATTTATTGTTTCTACTCCTTGCCTAGTGCTTTATTCTCATTTTTCTTTCATTCTTTTTATGTCTATTGTAGTTGGTGTCAAATATTTTGTATCATTTTGTTTTCAGTGTTAGCATATCAGCTATACCCCTTTTTACATTTTTTTTTAACTTTTAAAAATGGTTGCCTTCCATGAATACTGAGGTGGTAGCCAACAACTTTCTAATTGGTCTAAAGAGCTACTTGAGAAGAGGGAAATCATGCCTAGTCTGGAAACCTAGTCAACTATCCAAAGCTAGGTGCAGTCATGGATCTTGGAGGAGAACTTAAAACCTTGGCTTTACTAAGCCAGTATATCCCTAACTACATTCTAAATATTTGTCCTAATATCCACACATAAGTGCAGTCCTCACCCCTCAGCAAGCAAACTTACTTTAGCAATGGACAGACAATTACAGAAAACTATAACTAATCAAATGCAGAGTTCTGGAGTCCATTCCCAGGGCATGCATACATCTATGAAACAACCCCACACCTAGGACTCATGGATCACTGTGGAAGGGAGGCCTGAAAAACTTCTAAAAGCCAGAGGATATGGGATTTTCTAAGCCAGAAGCTATCTCCATAAAGTTTCACAAACATCACCGCCTAAGATGAACGAGGACAATAACAGACATGCCAAAATTGACTGGGGAAGCCCAGGACAACCCAACTCTAAGAAAGAACTACAGGCAGCTAAGGAGCGCTAAGAAGGGAAATAGTCTTCCTTGGGGAGGAGTACAGCAGTGACTTATTCTACACCAAAGGCTCAGCCCTGAGAGCATCCACACAAGGAACACTGGTCAGGTTCCCAGCGCTTCAGAGTTCTCTCTTCCCTTACCACCATGGCCACTGTGTTTCTCTAGTTTACAGTGATACCCGATATCGTTCAGAAGAACTCTGAAAGACAAAGCCAGCCACCAAGTGCCAGCTACTCCAAATGAAATGAATCCCCAGTTGAAAACCAAATGAAGTCCAAAGGAAACAGCACATGAAAGCCTGAGGTGTACCGATCAGAAAGATTTGTCTAGAGCAGATTCTATCTAAAACAAAGTCAGGACTCATTTTTTTCTGCTTCACTTAGCTGAGTAAAAACAACAGTTGATGCTGCTGACACAGAAAAACAGGGAAATGTCCCTGGAGTAAAATGACTCCAACAGCTGCTGGAAATTCCCATCTTTGCTCTTCATGAGCTCACTGTGAGGGGCATACACCCCAAAATGTGTCTCAGTCCCATTGTGGCTGTTATTTTGCTGTCAACCCTGGGAATCACAATGGATCCCCATGTCAAGTCTGCCTACCTGTCCCCAGAGACAAATTTGAGTGGAGAGCAGTCAAAGGGGCTGTCAGAATGTCTCCGGTCAAGAGCCTCCTTCATGTTTATCTCAGGCTGTCTGCAGCCTCCTTCTTGCTCTCCCTTTTCTGACCTCTGTCCAGCCTGAATCCTTGTGGCTGTCAGATGCAATCTTCTGAGCTACCAGAAGTATCAATCTGAAAGCTAAGAGTGTCATTCTATAGTATCTGAGGGCTACAACCCAGGCTGCCCTGCTCTGCTAAGACCAAGCTATCTGAAGTTTCCATCAATGAGTTTTAAATGTCTTCATTCATGACACTTTGCTTTTTTACTATAAAAATTTCATAAAATTGTTACCTCATTGGGACATGGTATTTAGGAAAACATAAAGCTGTGCTTGGTGGCCGTGATCACTCACCAGAATAAATGTTCTTTTATTCATTTGAGATGAGAGATGTTCCTCTTTCAATACATGCTAACCACACACACACACACACACACACACACACACACACACACACACACTACCATCACGACCACCACCAAATGACTCTCAACTTACCCTAGTACACCTGGCTTTGTACTCTGTGAACAACATCTACAAGCAGGGACAACAGAAATATTTCAAAACATTACCCAATAAGTCCTAAACAGGAGAATTAACTCATTTTAAAATTATTCTTAGAATAAACCTCTAAATAATACTTTTATTTTAAAAAAAATTGCTCAGCATGCTATTTAGCACATCTGTAATTATAGCACTTAGGATATGGAGGCAGGAGGATGGACACGTACAGCCTGGCCAATTCATAATAAGAGTGCTCTCAAATTTTCACAATAAATAAACTAAATTAGATCATTTTTTGCTAGTATCTTACTTACTGTTCTATTTCTGTGATCTCCTCAGCCAATGACATTAGCCCAAAACTCTTCAATTTAGCCTCAGGCAGATTCTTAGGACAAGGACAAAAAGAAGCCACCTTTTTCCAAAACACTGGAAGAATGGTATCTATCCTTGTAGATATTGTTCCCTTATGATATCTCTTGAGCTGGCCCCCCACAGTCAGCACTGTCCTCATTACTATCTTTCCTGCTCCTACAAGACAGCCTGCTAACTTTCCCCTTCCCCGCTCCAATTCTCTTGGGCAGATTACTGCTGCCCAACTACAGGCCATGCCTACAGGAAGACCAGCTAGGCTGCCTGCCTGCAGGCCTCCCCATTCTCTCCACCCCCTCAAACAAACACCCTGCTGTGCAACCACAGGCCATGCCTGCCAGAAGATAGGTAGGCCAGCAGCTCTGGGATCTCTCCTACTCTCATAATTCCCTCAGGCAAACATCCCCTATCCAACTACACACCATGCCTGCCAGAAGAACATGAAGACCACCCACCCACAGGTCTTCCCTCTCTTGATTGTCTTGGACAGATACCCATTGCTCAAACACAGGCCACACCTGCCAGAAGACAAGGAAGGCTGCCTACTGGTGAACCGCTTCCACTCTTTGGTTTCCCCCAATGCCCCTTCCCTCCTTATCACCACACCCCATCCTGCAACTCATGTGGAGACTCCCTGCTGGACCAGAGACCACACTGACCATCAGTAGGCTGCCCACACAGAGACTTCCTCCACTTTCTCTGTGCCCCCCTGAATACTATCCCTAATTGCTCCTCCCCTTCTAGTCACCTTGTACCACCCTCCAAATAAGCTGGACACTCCCTGATGAATCAGGGACCATGAAGGCCACCAGAACTCCTGCATACAACTAACATGGAAACTCCAGCTCAATCACAGGCCAGAAAACCAAAGAGAAAACAGGGACCAAGGGACAAAACACACGTGCATCAAAGACAAACCCAGAAATTGGCACCTAGACTTATAATCATCCGAAAACCACACCTGCCCTGGCTACAAGATGTGATAGGGCAATAGTGACTCAGAGCTTGTGGTAATGGCCAACCAATGACTGGTCTAACCTGCAGACAATGCCACAAGAAGAAGCCCATGCCTGACACT